CCCCCCCCGGGGGGGGGGGGGGGGGGGGGGGGGGGGGGGGGGGGGGGGATGGGCCGCGGTAGCGCGTTGCCCGCATCGCCCCCTCGGCCGCCCTCGAGAGTCGACATATGCCGAAGTAGCAGTGCTGCTGCTGCTGCTGCTGCTGCTGCGCCAAGCCTGAACCCGTTTGTCGAGGAACGGCGGAGCCCGTCCACGAGCCCGACCAATCCTTTCGTCACGACCTCTTCGTCGTTGAATCCTTTCGCCGGCGGCGACGACGGCGAATGGCGAGCAGTGGAATCGGAGAAGAAAGGAGGAGAAGGAGGAGGACGGAGAGCGGAGGGGGAAGAGAAGGCGCCTCCCGTCGTGGAAGAGAAGGCCGGAGCGGCGACGGCGGCGACACCGCCGCCGCCACCGCCGCCATCCGGGGAAAGCAACAACCCGAAGAAGCCACCGCCGCTGCCACCGAGAAGGCCGGCGAGCCACACGCTGACGGACCAACACCCGCCGCAGCCTTCGGCAGCTACGGCAGGGGAAGGGTCGGGGGGACACTCCGGCCCGGCGTCCCCCAGGTCGACGGTGTCGAGCGCGACGTGCGACAGCAGCGGCGGCGGCGGCCACGGGAACGGTTCAGAGGCGGGACCAGGCGTTGGGTCGGTCGATCCCTCGACCGGGGACGATGGAATCGCCCGCGCGAAATATCTGGTGGTGAACAAGGCGAGAACCTTACTGATGTTGGTTTGGGTTAGTTTGTGTTGGTGGTTTCGCACGAGCAATGGCCTGTTTCGCGGCGGGGGGGAGGACGCCCGGAAATAGAGAAAGCAGAGAGCAGCAAGCACCCCTCTGAAACATGTAGTGTACGTCTTCTAACTAGGATCTTGCCTCTGCAAAACTCGCGCCCTCCTCGAATGCGTTCCTTTTTTCTCTCCTGTTGCCTGACATTGTATGCATCATCACCGCCTTCTGAGACGGCGCGCGTGTGTGTTCAACTCGTTGTTCTAAATACTCGCGCGCGGGCGTCAAATCGTGGGTGCATGCAGGACACTGGGAAAAACTTCGACGTCCGCGAGATGGAACAGCACTTGCCTACCAACAACTACACCCTCCTCCCCTCCCGCAAAGACCTGATCGAGCGAGAGAGGCGCCGATCATCGGACAGCCCCGTCCCCGTAACCCCAACGCCGCCGGTCACCAACTCCTCCACCGAGCCCTCGTTGTCGACGGCGGCGGCAACGGGGCCGGCAGCGGGGGCGGCAAAACCAAACTCGCCGTCCCCGCGTTCTTCCCTGTCCGCCAGCGTGGCCGCGTCCATGTCCGCGGCGGTCGGCTCGACGACCAGCAGGAAGGAAAAGGCTAAGAGCCTGGGCAGCATGATGCGAAGAAAGCTGGGCAAGGTGAAGACGGCGTCGGGAGCTTCGTCCTCTTCCCATCCCTCTTCGTCTTCTCTCGGCGGCAGCGGCGTCGGTGGGGGTGACGCGTTGGTAGACGTTGACGGCAGTGGCGGAGCAGGAGCTGCAGGGGAAAGGAGTTCGGTCGGGAGCGGCATGGGAGCCGCGGCGAAGGCGGCGCGCGGCGCACTCGCCGGCATCCGGGTGTCGTTCAAGGGGAAAGAGGCGTCCGAGACCCTCACGGGCCTGATGCTCTTCCAGGAGCTCTGGTGTCACGACGGACCGATCTGGGCGGCCGCGTTCAACCAGAGCGGACAGTTCCTCGCCACCGCCGGGCAGGACGCGCGGATACTATTGCGTAAGGTCGGGGACACCAGGGACGACCTCCCGGGCGAGAAGGCCGGCGACGGCGATAGCGGCGGCGACGGAGGCATCAAGGCTGCTGCGCCTGATTCGACTTCGACCGGTGCGGAGGGCTCAGGGCGGCCGCGGTCTCAGAAGGGGAGGCCAGAGGCTGGAACTGGAGGAGTGGAATCAGTAGATGGCGGTACCGGTGGCGATGGGACTGTGTCAGAGGACGCCGCCACGAAGGGCAGTGGTCGACCGCCCTTAAGCGGAAGTGGCGAGGGGCGAGGGTCCGACGGGAGGGCGTTGTCGACCGTGATGATAGACCCGGATCCGTGGCAGATCTGGGAAGCGCACAAGGGGGACGTGGTGGCCATCTCGTGGTCGAGGAACGACTTCCTGCTGTCGGCCTCTCTCGACAAGACCGTGCGGCTGTGGCACACCACCCAGGCCAGCTGCCTGCACTGCTTCCAGCACGCCGACACGGTTACCTCGGTGGACTTCCACCCGCTCCTGGAGCACTTCTTCCTGTCGGGCTGCTTCGACAAGAAGATCAGGGTGTGGAACATCCGGGACGGCCGGGTCCAGGAGTGGCAGCAGGCGCCGGACATGGTGACCGCGGCCAAGTTCAGCCTGGACGGCCAAATGATCGTGGCCGGGCTCTACATGGGACAGGTAGGTGGTGTGTATGAAGTCCTTCGCGCGCAACGTACGTTCTCGTCGCGAAACGTGAGCATGCCCCGCTTTTTTTGCTCCGGGACTGTGGATTAGGTAGCATGTGGTACATGAATTGTTCGGCACAGAACTGCTTGGATGGAAGCGCAAGCGCTGATAGTACTTGGAGTTCGGGTGCCGTCAGAGGACGACCTTATACCGTGCAAAGTGGTTTTGTGGTTGGGTTGTCTTCGGACAGGAGACACGGCACGGGGGTGCCTTTCCCCCCCTCCCTCCTGCTCCCGCTTCTGCTTTCTCCGTACCCTCGATTGCACCTTATTCGGGGCATGCATGTCTCCGGTTGCCTCCTGTCTGCCCGGTGGCCCACAAATATAAACAAAAAACAACAGGTTCTCTTCTACCAGACCGAGGGCATGCGCTACTTCACGCAGATCGAGTGCCGAAATCGCAGAGGCACGAAGAAGCGCGGCTGCAAGGTAAGCGGCTTCGCATTCAGGAGGACGGCCTTCGGAGGAGGCGACGAAGCCGGCGGCGGCAAGAAGGACGCCGGGGCAGACGGCAGCAGAGCCGGCGGCGTCGGCGGCAGCAATCGATCGGCCGGCTCCTCGCCTACGGGGGGCCGCCGCAGCGAGCCGGTCACGTCATCGCCGGCTTTCGGGGGCTCCGTCGGGCGCAGCGACGAGGGCGGGGCAGTAGGGGGGGTGGGTGGCGTCGTCGCCGGGGGCGCGGGGTCTCACGTCCCCGAGCAGCTCCTGGTGACGACGAACGACTCCCGGCTGCGGCTGTACAACACAGACGACTTCGGGATGAACGCCAANGGGGTGGGTGGCGTCGTCGCGGGGGGCGCGGGGTCTCACGTCCCCGAGCAGCTCCTGGTGACGACGAACGACTCCCGGCTGCGGCTGTACAACACAGACGACTTCGGGATGAACGCCAAGTACAAGGGCTTCGCGAACGACACCCTGCAGATCACGGCCACGTTCAGCGAGGACGGCAAGCAGATCATCAGCGGCTCGGAGAATGGCAAGGTGCGAATGAACAATATAGAGAGCGAGAGAGAGAGAGAGTTAGACTCGGGGTTCGAGTGGGCGCGAGAGTCGGCGTTTCGATAACGCGTGTATTTTAGTAATAATCCTTCCGCGTCACACAGAGTGTTGCGAGAGTGTCCGCTCTTCTCACGCCCATCGTGAGGGCATGTTGCAGTTCGGTATTGTGGTTTATCCTCCGAGATGTTCGCTTACCGAGAGTTGCGCTTTTGTTGTCCCTACGCGTGCGGCAAAAGCCCGCGTTCCGTGCGTGATGTGCCTGTGTAGCCGAAGGACGTAGAAGACTTGATAGCAAGCCCGATGCCAGGTGTTCCTGCCCCGGCTTCGGCATCCGTCCATCCATCTTCTTGGCCACACCCCGAGTATGCCATGCATGTGTGTGGACAACGATTGTTTCAGGAGGAGCCACTTTTGGGGGGGAAGTCTGCCCCGGTTGCGTCATCAATCCATCCGGTGGTCCGCGTCGCCTCCCCCCTATGTTATGTCCCCCTGTAAACTCGGCAGAAAATAGTAGTCAATACCGGGGTGTTGCCGCGATGCCTCTACCCACCAGCAGTAAGTAGGAAATCTATTTTGTTGTCGAAGGAGGAGTGCGCGGCCATCGACCACTCCCAACAACAAACGATCCCCCCCCGCGCGCGCCAGGTCTACGTATGGAGCACGGGCGTCGTTGCAGGAACGTCCCCGTCCATGCTCCCAGGAGTCGGCGGCGGCGGAGTCGGCGGCGGCGGCCGCATCCCGGGGGCGGGTGCGTCCGCCGCCGCCGCGACCTCCCCCTCGCCGGCGGTGGCGCCGACCCAAAAGGACACCAACACCCGCCACGAGTCCTTCCACGCGACGTCGGAGGCTCCCAAGATCGTAACGACGGCCTGCTTCGTGCCGGAGTCGACGTCGCGGGCGTGCGTGCGAGCGGTGAGGGGCGGGCTCTCCGGGCCGGTGGAGGAGAGCGGGGGCTACGGCGGTTGCATGATCCTGGCGACCGACTACAACGGCTGCGTCCGCGTGTACTGCAAGTCGGCAGTGCTGCTGAGCTAGGTTTTTGAAAGTTAGTGTGCTGTGCATGCCAAGCAGGCAGGCAGCTGGGATGGTTTGTGTGGTCTGGTGTGTCGATCTTCATCTCCGCGAATGGTGTGGTTTGTGTGACGCGTGAAAAAATTCCGGGAGGGGCGCGAGCGGTAAACCGTTGATGGTGTGTGCTCTTTTAGCCCCGATTCGTGGGGGTTGTTTTTAGGTAGGTGTGTGTTGTTGTTGTCTGCAGTAGATGGTCTTTTCTTTCTTGTCAAAATTTTGGATCCCGATTCGTGCTTCACGATGCGGCAGCTCTCCGTCGCATGCGCCGTGTATCCGGGAGTCTGTGGGGCTGTAACCTTACAAGTATGTTGGACGAAGCGTTTGGCGGTTTTCAATAATTTTCCGTGCCTTTGGGGCTCGCGCATATGTGTATATACGCTGGATACCTTGGCAGGCTCCTCGTGTGTGGGAATTTCTGGCGGCTGCCACCCCGTCTCTTGTTGACGGCTGGTTGCGTTTTTGAGTTTGGCTGGAATGCTCCGAATGGTGTCACAACGCGCTAATTTTTGCCCTTGGACGTATCCCATCCTTTTTGCCGCCGCTCGGTGGCGTAGACTGGGAAGCCCTAGGTTGTGGTGGACGGGACGTTGTGGTGCGTGTTGTCTCTACCTGTATTACGCGGGGTTGTTCCATTCGGTGTCGTCTGTGTTGTCACGCCGCCGCCGATGTGCGTCGTGTGTGTCGGCTCTTTGCAGAACGGGTACAAAAAAGAGTGGTTTTAGAACGGTCTCCTCGCAAAGAAACACGTGAGATGTAAAATGTAGTGTAAGAAACCACGAAGACGAGATGAAAAGGGTATCGACACGGATGGATGCGGAAAACGGTATGATACCTCGCCTGTCTTTTTCCTACCAGTGGCGGCGCCTAACCTCACCATCATTCCTGTGTCACGTTGCAGGCCACGTGCTCTCGTACGGTGGAGCAGGGATTCTTTCCTAAGACGTCGCTATTAGACATTCGATGCCTGCCTGCTACATGCACGTGCCCGCGTATTTTTATATGGTGCAAACGTCGTTTTTGTCGAAATACCATTGGATTCCTGTTGGTAAAACCGAGTGCCAGTAAATGTCGCACCAGCATTGAGTGACGCCAGACGGCGTGCACCTTCCTTCCCCCTGTCTGTCTGCTCTTGTCGTCAACCGACGCAAATAGGCTGAGCCAGGGATCAATATCCCCCCGCCAAACACGCAAAATGTGGCGCATGTGTACCACCCCTCCTCACGTGTGCCCCGTCCCTCGCCACCGCCGGCGGGAGCAACTTCCACCGCCGGTATTCTCCCCCTGCAAGCGGAGAACCCTGGTGGGCCACCTCCCGTGCGGTGGTAGGATTCGAAAGAGGAGGAAAATCCCGTGAGATTTTTGCACTACATACGTTGCCGGCGTCACTACCACATCCACGATTTGGAGGTGGTGCTAAGTCTTGGGTCTTCCCCAGCCCTCTTCTGTTCTGTTTCGAAAGGGATGCATGGTCACTTTGTTGGTGTCAATGACTGCACAGCAGTACTGTAACGTAACAAACGATTGTGGTCCCCCCCCCCCCGCTGCCTCTCACGCCTGTCCTCCGCCCGGGGGAACTCAAGGGGTTGCTTGTCTCTCCCTGTCCCTCCTCCCCGCCTTCACTGCCGATCAATCCGCGTGCTGAGTTCTCCAGGCCAACCAATGAAACACCCCAAAGGAAGGCGTCGACGACCATAGGTAGGTACAAAACACAATCTAACAATAGTAGATGGCACCGATTTCAACCAAGCCCGGCGCGAAGCGATAGTTCTTTTCTCTCGAGCGCCACCCCCCGCACCCCGCCACGTCTGTCTACGGTCACAGCGTTTATATTGCACAACCTACTCTCACAAAAGGGAGAGGGGGGGGGGGGTCCCTGTATCCAGGGTTGGAGAAAGGTCTCAACCAAGAGCTCAACATCGACCCAAATGATGCGGGACATATTTATTTTCTCTACCGCGAACCAAACTACTATTGTAATACCGTCCGACCTCAACGTCAGCAGGCCTGCCGTGAACAGATACTCTTCCGGTAACGACGTTTTCGGCCGAACCAAGACGTTCGTGTACAAGTCACCCCCCCTTCATTGTTCATAACCATTTCCCAGGACGACGCGCATAGTCTCACATGCATAGTCTAAACACGCATGGTGCCGAGAGACAGCAGGGCAGGATCATCAAGCAAGGCTTGGGTTTCTACACACGTGGAGCGCCTAGATCTCGAACCCAACCCCACTCACCTCACCCGCGCCATATTCCGTGGGAACCCCTGGCTCTCCGCCACCAGCAACAGTATGGATAGCTTGAGCTTTCGACGACAGCAGCTCAACAGACGCCTCGAAGCCCTCCGACAGTAGTCCACTACGAATTCATTTATGGACGGGCCATTTGAGCGTTGTGTGGAAAAGGGGGCAACCTTCCGACTTCGCCGACACAAAAAGGTCAATGCTTGACGGCCAAGACTTACATGCACCGTTGCATGTACCGCTACAAAAAACAGCGGGTGTAGCTTCAGCCGGAGGAACGAAGGGCGACCGAGGCAGTTTCGTCGTCTTCATTGAAGCTCCGAATCGTTGTGTTGTCGAAGAAAAAAGTGTGTACGGCGGGGGGGGGGGTTGCATTGCCTCCATGGACTGTTCAATCAGCTTCGAAAAACCCTTCTCCCGCGAATGGGTGTTGTTGACCATCTCCGCAGTCGCCTCTCTCTCTTGCTGACCTTGGCATGCACGGACCGTCTCGTCCCCGTACTTGTATGTCGAAGGGGGCGACCACGTCTACGCGGGAAACCTGTGGGGTCTGCCTGCTGCTGCCCCACAAGCCGGTCACAAAATCGTGTGGGCAGAAAACTCGCGAGGATAACACAGACGTGCCAGGGAACCTCATCATCACCCCCGAGGCAAGACAGCACCAAACAGCACGCCCAGTGCGCTGGCCGCTGGATGCTTTGGTTGCCATCACCAATACCCTTCTAGACAGCCCCCCCTCCTCCACTCCCTCCTTGAAAGTCACAGGCGTTCGGCGCCCCCGCCGTGAGAGAGACTGGCATAGACGGATTCCACCACGAGCAACCCCCCGCCGGACGAAGACGGAACCTCGTCTTCCTTTCCCTCGCTAACCTCGAGCACACACCCTTCGCAATCCAGGTGTAGCTTGTCGTTTCCTGCGCCACTGCTGCTGCCGCTGCCTCCGCCGCCGCCGCTGCCGCCGCTGCCGCTGTTGCCGCTTCCGCCGCCTCCGGCAGCCGCCGCACCCGCCGAAGAAGCCCGGTCCGTGCGGTTGAGGTAGATGGTCAAGGTCCTTCCGCCGACCGCGTCTTGGAGGAGACCGCGCGTCGCCGCCGAGGGCACGGAAGGGCGGCCGTTCGTCCTGATCCGAAGAACCCGCAAGGAGGACACCGGTGATGATGATGATGATGATGATGACGACTGCGACTTGTCACGACCGTCGCCGCCGCCATGACTATAAGAAACAGGGGGGCCCGCCGCTGCGGCGGCGGCGGCGGCGGCGGCGGCGACGGCAGCCGTCAGCCTGGCGGTGGCGAACCTCTTCCACCCATCATCGGTGACCTTGATACCGTCCACGACGAGCTCCTCGAGGCGACGCGCGTTGGCCCCGATCGCCCCCAGGCCCGTGGTGATGCCAGAGGCTTCGGCCTGTCCACCGCGCTGCCCCGTCAGCCGCAGCTTGCGGAGAGAGGAAGGGGTCTTCCCATCACCGGGGCCCCCACCGCAGGGGGCCGCCCTGGGCATGTTGGTCAGGTCCGCGAGGGCCGCATCGTTGATCTTCGACTCGTAATGGGCGTCCCACTTGGCCCCGGACCGCTTGCTGGGCATCAGCGTCATCATGGTGACCTGGAGGGCCAGGGACTGGAGCTTGACGGCGTGAACGAATATCGCCAGCTGTCGCAGCCAGTACTGCGGGGAGTCGAAGGAGTAACAAGTGTCGTAGATCTGGCAGGGGGTGAGGGGGGTGGGGGGCGGTGAGGGGTGAGTGTAGGGAGACCAAAATGGTACCACAAAAAAAAACAGGGAGAAAAAGTGTCGTACTGGTAGTTCCGGCAAGCTCATACTCATGTAAAACGCATGCCGTGTTCAGTGGACCATAGACCTCGCATCCCTACAATGCCAGCCGGGACGGAGCGATACGCCGTTTTTTTTGTGGCCCAGGCTACGCGTTTCACAACCAGGAGCTGGTCGCATCCTTGCGTTTGCTGTGCCCAACCAGATATACGATTGGTTGATTGGGCGTCCCGGTTGACCAAACGATAAAACGGGGGGGGTGAGGGGAGGGTGAGCCAAACAAATTATACCTCACAATTGTTCTGGGACAAGCAGGGAACGGGCGGGAAGGAAAAGGGGGGCGGCCGGCGGCAAGCGAGCATGTCCACTTGAACCAAAAATAAAAAGCACCCTCTCTTAAGAAACGAAAGGAGAGGGACGAAAACGCCAAAGAAAGGTGAGAATCGTTGCAACACATTCTGCGACGAAGAGCTTCAGGTTTGGGGGGGGGGCGTACAGGGAAATTTCCTGCGAAGAAGAGATGGAGGCCACAAAACCATCACAGCGAGAGTCCCCACGAAACCACTTTGTAACGTACGCGGCGGTACCCCTTGCTCTTCTCCCACCTCGCTTCTTTGCTCCCCTTTTGAGGGCAGAAGAAGGCAAAGTGGCAGATTTTACCATCGCCGCCGTCTTAGCTGCTTTCAACAAACACAAGCAGGCATGCTTTGATCACTCGCAAAGCGAACAGATGTTCTGACTCGACACACGCGTGCTGGGTAGCGATGGCTAGAAATACGACGAAAAAGAACGAGTCGGAAGAGGCACTCCAGTTTGGAAGAGAAATTGATACAAAGTAGGCACTGACATAGTGGCGATCCAGGAACAAAAATTGGGTGTGGCACTGACATAGTGGCGACGCCAGGAGCAAAAATTGGGCATGGTGACTTGAAAAAAAGCAATACTATCCGGAACGGCGAGACAAAAGAAAAATATCACCTTTCAATATAGACATGCCGACTCTGCAAAGAACCAGGAGTAGTAGTCGCAAATCTCAAATGTCAGGTCAGATCCGCGCACTTTCTATCGACTGACGAAGGAAACGCTATGCACCCCTTCTCAAAATCCCCATCTCCGTTTGCTGCACGCCCCTTGGAGGGACAACAACACCACCTTTGAACCCTTGATCCACCCCCCCCCCTACCCGGCTTTGCAGGGATGCGAGGTCAATGGTTTATCCACACCGGCATGCATGGCTACGAGTACCCCCTCCCCCCCCCGAAAGCAAGGACACTTCTCACCGCCAGCCCCCTAAGGTTCGGCAGCGCCCTGGCCAGGGCGGCGAAGTCGATCTTCTTCGCGCCCGAGCTGCGCGAGAGGTCGAGGTGGGTCAGCCCAACGCCTCCCTTAACCTTGCCGAGGTTGTGGAAGCTCCCCAGCTTGGTCCGGCATCCGAGAGTAACGCGGGCCACGGCGTGCAGGGGGTTGGACGCCTTGATCGTCTTGAGCTGGGTCAAGAGTTCCCTCCAGGGAAAGTCGCTTGCCGAGGTTCGTATCGATGTGGGAAGCCGGGGGGAGGCCCGAGACTACGACAGCGGTG